GGCAGCTGCAGCTCGCCGAGGTTTCAGCAGCCTGGATGGCAACCCCCGCTGACACGCCTGACACTGATCACGCTGCGCACACATACATACATTCACGAGGACACAAACTTGTTGTGAACCCTGCCCCTTGACTTAGATACTGAATTGCTACATATTCATCAGCAATTAGCGGAGGCTTTACGATTAATTAACCGTGACATTTTAAAGCGCGGTTAATTGTGAAACCGGTTCATCGCTGCATCCCTATCTTAAACCCATCTTTTTAGGCAAGTATCAGATATGGGTGTCATGTCATAAGACATGTTTAATACGACTGTATTTGTATTTAACTTGAGCATAATTTAATACAAAAAATTGTAAGTACTAATTATAATGCTTTCACTGTTATTCAAACAGTGAATAAATTATACAGAGAACTCCAGCAAAGAATATTTACATTATCGCTGTGAAGTGGGAGCGACCAGGATTCCGCTTGGTCTTAAAGCCTTCCTCGAACAGCTATGTTCACATATCAAACACTTGTCCACAAATTATTAATTCTCAATTTAGAGTTTGTTATTCCTATGGTCTACGTGGTCATACGGCATATGCCTTAAATACGGGACATTCTGTATGGCTTTCATACGGAACGTTTTGATGCCTTAAATTCGGAACGATTCCATATTATACGGAACGGTTGACAACCCTAGTTAGATGTGTGGGTTAAAGTTATAAAGTTACAACCATTAGTAAAAAGGGTATGTAGTAGAGGTTCCCTCTTAATACACTCTGTTTTTCTTGGCCATTGAATATGTGAAAATGAGACAGTCTAGCTCTATGGCCGTATAGAATACTTTTGTTGTATAGAAAAGAGCATCACATACTGCAGTGCAGAATAACTCTTTTTGTGGTCCACAGAATTACATGAGGATGAAATGATGACAGAATTAAACATTTTATTTGAATATTCCATTAAGTAATGATAAGTAGGATTTCCATCAACTATGACAGAGAGACACAGAGGAAAGCGGCGGAGCTCATAATGTACACTGCAGAGCCAGCAACTCGGTCAGCATGTTGAGCCTTCATACTGGAGTATGTCTGGTCATCATTCAGGGCTCATTGGTTAAGTTGTTTCAGCTATTCAGTCATAAAATTATAATAAAATAAATTGTCAGTACTCACAGCAGTAGTTTCTATCTTTGGGGTGGTGCATGTTCATTGTTAGTACACACATGCTCACCTTGTCAACATCTTGGCTGTGCTCAGCATGGTTGCTGACGTCTGACCGTATCTGTTTCAGGAAAAGGGGAGCATGGGAAACCGTATCCGCTCGCAGAGGATGAGTGTGATGACTCCGTATACAAAGAGAATGGCTTCAACATCTACGTCAGCAACAATATCGCTCTGGACCGCTCCCTTCCTGACATCAGACATCCAAAGTGAGTAGAGCTGATTCTCACAGCATGTTCACAGTAACCAGCCTCCAGAGCCGCACAGCTTGAGCTAGACATCAGCGTTTTAACGATCCGTGGCAGGCCATACTTACGCAATGTGTTTTAATTAATGATTTCGTCCTAAATGAGAAGTTCATCTAATTAGGATGAATTACTTAGTGATTTCAAGGCTGAAAGATTTTTCTGTTTGTGCACCTTTTGATATCATATAACATCAAAACAAGGGAGAGCAGGGATAACTAACTTTTTTTTTTTAAATGTTAGCCTAAAGCTTTGAGATTTTACCTTAAACATCTTTGAACATCAGTGGTTCTGTGTTAATTATATATTGTTGTGAATAAAATTATGAACATGAACCCCCAAATTTCTTAAAAATGACATTTTCACCGAAAGACCCACTTAGGATTTTTTTTCCCATCATTACAAGTTTTACATATGCAATAAATAAGCATGTCTTTTGAAAATTGTTTGAAATCATGAGGACTCACACAAGATGAAGACTGGAGTCATATCAGGAGCCTAATAAAAGCTTATTTATTTTGCAGTGGTTTGCCTCATGGGAGACAGTATATTGAGATGAGTCGAATATGACTCACTTTATTTCTGTATCCCCACTGTTAAATTAATTATATATTATATAAAAAATAAATTGGTAAATAGTAAATAAAAATGTGTGAACACAGCCCATGTTGAAAATACAAACAAACAAAACAAATCTATTAGCCTACAGTTTCTACAAATATATTATGTAGCACAACTGTTTTCAACATCGATGATAATAAGAAATGTTTCTTGAGCAGCAAATCAGCATATTAGAATGATTTCTGAAGGATTATTTGACACTGAAGACTGGAGTAATTGCTGCTGAAAATTCAGCTTTGCATCATAGGAATAAATTATATTTTAATATATATATTAAAACAGTAAAAAATTGTTTTAAATCGTAATAATATTTCAGAATGTTTTTGTTTTTTTCAGTATTTTTGATCAAATAAATGTTCTTTCAAAAACATAAAAAATATTAGTAACCCAAAAGTTTTGAATGATAATGTCTCAGATTTTGACTGGATTACAGAATACATTATTCTTAAGAACATTTTGTTGCACAGATGACAATGAAAGTGCTTAATCATCAGTGTTAAAGTGTAAAGGCAAAAAAGAGAGACAGCATTAGTTTGGTGCAGTCCATCCATTTAGCAGGATTTGAAGGAGAAGGTCTGGTTTCACACTTCCATCTAAATGAGCATCTTGATGGATTGATCGTTAATTGTTCTCAGAATGCTCTGCACCATTACCTTCCCTTGAATGTCTCCACTGCCATGGATTTTCCCTTGGCAAGAACAAATCTCTCTATAACTCATGTACCAAAGAGTCACTGTCTAAAGGAGGGCCGATTCATTGCAGGGTTGTCAATAACTAAAATAGAATTTATTCTGCCAGAATGAGTTTAAGGTCCATTTAAAGGGGTCATATGATGCGATTTCAATTTTTCCTTTCTCTTTGGAGTGTTACAAGCTCTTGGTGCATAAAGAAGATCTGTAAAGTTGCAAAGACTAAAGTCTCAAATCCAAAAAGATATTCTTTATAGTGTTTCGTTGTGAAAGCGAAACTACTTTGTTTGGTCTTCCAAAAGAGGATGATATCCGCTTCGTTATGCCTAGAGCTGATCTGTGCTGGTCGCTGAGGAAATACATCAACTTCGTGCTGTGGATCGCCGAATCGGGGTCGTCACATGTGGTTGCTGCAAGCACGCCGGACGCTCCTTCATCGAATCCTCCGGCCACGCCGTTCTCAAGCCCGCCCGCCTCTGCTCACTCAAGCCGGCCTCCGCATACTCTAGGCCGCGGTGTGTGACGCTGTTTCGTTGTGAAAGCGAAACTACTTTGTTTGGTCTTCCAAAAGAGGACACGACTACAAATCAGTGGTTAATTTGTATTTACAACACTGTTCCAGAACACTTCAACCCAAATATTCAGATGTGTGCAGCACATGGAGGACTGTTTCCTGATCCTGGTAGAGTAGACTACAATGCCGGCTGTTCTGACTCACAGACTGTAAGTACGTTTTCATATTTAAAGAATTTGCCACTGATGATTCAAACGCGAGTTTTGAGCAGTGTAGAGTACCGCTTATTGTTTGTCATTTCTCTGATCACAAATGCAGACATGGTTTTATGTTACACTCCGGCC